AATTAGCGAAACGAAAAAGTTTCCTCAGAATCTCTCTCTCAGATGAACAATGAAGATATGAGAAATGAATGCCTCAATCCACCTTTATAGGCAACATAAATGGCTTTCGCGAAACCCAATAGCCATCATTAACTGCACGACCAACCGTAAAACGGTTCGGTTCTGTCGCAGCAAGCATCATTATGACGAGCTCCGCAAAGCGGCTTCTCAGCCATCCGCCAACATACCGCCGTCAGAACAATCGCTACGACCTGCGAACGCTGAAAGAATGTGCCGTACGCCGTTAAAATTTTGGACTTGACCAAATACGTACCCGGCGCATGCTCATTCCCCACGGCCATCTCTAATATATGAAAGGCTCTCCAATGTGCGAAAGGCTACGGCCATCTCCAACGTATAAACGGCTAAGGCCACCGCCGCCAATAAGTCGACCCCCTTATTCGAGTTGTTTTCCAATCACAATCGATGAAGTCCGCTCATCGAGCTCGGCCGAAACACGACCTCAATAAGCGGAGGGACTAACTGTATGGGTCAGAATCCGACCCCACGATAATTAACGAGGCTAATCCCGTTTTAAGTTAATCATGATTAATTAGTGGCACGACCACTCAGAATTGACGACGTTCAATCGTCTCGGGCTCGGTCAATAAGGCCCTGGCCTATCCGCCACTATAGAGGCGAGATCTCAGCGTGGTCACGGCCACTTATTGCCAGCTCACGAAGCCCACAACTATAAATACCAAGATAGGGGACCCTAGAAAGGGAGCTGCTTCTTGATAACTAGTGAGAGGAGAGAGAAAGGAGAGAAAGACACCCATCCTATGGGGAAAGAAAACACCATTGTAAGGCTCTGAACCTCTCCATGGAGAGGCAGACCAAACAAATATTATCAATAAAGGTTTCGAATGTTTCCCCTTAATTCTGAGTACTTATTTTCTTTTATTTCATTAGGTCCAACGGATTATTACGATTTTCTATGATTATCCCGTAATTTACTTATATTATTTTGTACTCGTAAGATGTGTAACAATTTTCGAGCAAACAGACCTATCACGTCAATTGGAGTTCGTCAACTTTTTTAGCACCGATAGGATCCAAGTGGTCGTACATAGCACGGGTAGGTTTCATGTAACGATCTCGCCAATTGTTTTGTGTATTTGAGCTCCATTTCCCCATTTGATGCTTCTTATATGTTTGGTTGTTTGTTTTGTGACCTGCGGGGGTGGTTGGTTTGGTTCCAGAAAGATTTTGGAGTGAGTTAGAATACTTTGTTGGAAGCTTAAGTTATAAGAGTTGACTATGGTTCGACTTTTGTGTAAACGACCTCAGATTAGTGATTTGATGATTCCAATAGGTTCGTATGGCGATTTTGGATTTAGGTGTATGTTCGGATTTAGATTTGGAAGTTCCTAGAGTATTTTGGTGATATTTGCCAAAAGTTGGCAATTTGAAGGTATTGAGAGTTCCTAAGTTTGACCAGGGGTTGACTTTGATGATATTGGATTCGAATTTTAGTTCTGAAAGTCGGAATAGGTTTGCTTTGTCATTTGGGACTTGTGTTTGGGTTCATTCCAGATTGGATGGGCTTGAATCAGACGTTTGGTTGAAGTATGAAGGTTCTTGAACTTAAAAGAAGTTCAATTTGCATTTTGGCCGTTGATTCGTTGTTATGATGTTATTGTGTCACGACCTAAGCCCATGGCACGTATTGTCCGCTTTGGGCCTAGATCCGTACGGATTTGTTTTTTTGGGCTACGCTACCTCGAGCCCCAAAAGTGTGCGTACCATGTAAACTTAACTCATGCCTTATATAACTCTTCACTTTCCTCTCCCATTCCGGTGTGGGATTTGCCTGACATATGCACCCCTTCTTCAGAAGCTTGCCAACCTAGATGCCTGTCAGTCATGATTGACCCGCCCTCATCGAGCCCTCCTCCATTATGGGCATCATATTCACCTCCCTTGGGACTCAGCGTCCTTGCTGAGGTTTGCCCTATCACCGTACTAATGGAGATTCGGCTATGATATCATATATGTCACGATCTAAGCCCATGGCACGTATTATCAGTTTGGGGCCTAGGCCCGCACATATTTATCTTTTTGGGCTACGCCATCTCCAGCCCGAAAGCGGGAGTAGCAAATGAACTTAACTCTTGCCTTATATAACTCTTCACTTTCTCTTTCATTCTGATATTGGATTTGTCTAAGGTGACATATGCACCCCTTATTCTGAAGCTTTCTAGCCTAGAAGCCTGTCAGTCCTACTTGACTCGTTCTCCGTCGTGATCATCATACATCGTATGTGTTTGGAGGCTTTGGATAGGTCCGCGCAATGACTTGTTAGTATGATTGGACTGGGTCCCGAGTGGCTCGGGTGAGTTTTGTACCACACCGAGCATTTTGAGCAATGCAAGTATTTGTTGGTGCTAGGCCCTTCCTTGCGATCATGGAGGTGTATCGCGATCGCATAAGGCATTTGAGTGCTGGGAAGAATTTCTTCTTCACGTTCGCGACAGTGAGATCGCGTTGGCGATGGGTTAGGCAGGGTGGTCTCCGCATTCGCAACAAGTGATCGAGTTCGCATTAAGTTGAGGCAGCTGGGGGCATGGCCAAGGCTTGGCCTTCGCGTTCGCGTGGATGGTCCTGCGTTCGGTGGGTCAGTGGAGTTTTGTGCATTGCGTTCGCTGACTGGGGCCGCGTTCACGAAGAGGTATTTGAGGAAATATATTTTTGTGCATTGGAAAAGCAAGACAATGGCCGCATTCGCAAAGTGTATCAATAGGCAGACTCATTAGTGATATAATTTCAAGATTTTACCCATACTCTCATACCCTAAATTTCAAGGTATGGTGATTTTAGAGAGCATATTCACTACTATATTGGAGGTAAGCAATGTTCGCTTTAATTTGTCTTTATATTTTGATTTCTCATGGATTTCTACACCTAAAACTTGGAATTTTAAAGGAAAATTTGGGGTTTTTGTCTACAATTCAAGAAAGTAAAATTGGAATTTTGAGAATTGATTTTGACTCGTTTTGGAATCTTATATATATTTGGACTCGTGGCATTATGGATAGTTGAGATCTACCCATTAAATCAGGTTTTGATCGTGTGGGCACGTGCTGACTTTTGTTGATTTTGAATATTTGATTAAAGATCAAAGTTTTATTGTTTTGGGGTTGTTTCCTTGGCTTAGTTTGACGTTATTGAGTTGTTTTAAGCTATATTCGAGTCAATGAGAGGTGATTTCTAAAGATAAGGAGGTTTTAGAGGGTTGATTTGGTCCATTTGAGGTCAACTAGAGTCCGTAATTATACAAAATTAACATACACTAATCCACACGAAAAAAAGGTATATAATCATAAATTCGTGTTATATGACCTTGAAATGCCATAAATTGAACTCTAAAGTCATAGTGAAGCAATGAGTATTGTTCACTAAGCCATTTTCAATGGACCTATAAAATTTTAGGCCAATCAGTATTCATCTATAAATTCTACAAAATCAACATATACTAATACGCACGAAAAATGTATATAATCATAAATTTGTATTGTATGACCTTGAAATGCCATAATATAAGCTCGAAAGTCATGGCGAAGCAATGAGTATTGGTTACTAAGCTGTTTCCTATGGACCTACAAAATTTCATGCAAATCAGAGTCCGTCAATTTATTTTTTTACAAAATTAACATGCACTAATACATATAAAAAAGTAGATATAATCATAAATTCGTATTGCATGACCACAAAACGCTATAAAATGAAACCGAAAATCATGATAAAGGAATAAGTACTGGTCACTAACCGTCTCCAATGAACTTACGAAAATTTAGGCCAGTCGAAGTTCATCAAAAAAATTCTACTAAATCAACATGTACTAATCGAAGTTCAAGTTTAGATATCTCAAGGGATTAGCAGAATACTAATGACTGGCAGACTGAGGTGACATGGGCAATCAAGCATGGAAAAGGGAAAACTACTAGCCAAGAGATTTATAGGATGAGAGGTGTATACGACATTTAGCAAGAAAAAAAATGCAAGGATCTTCAAGACACAACAAAATTTTAGGATCGCTCTCATAATTGCATGTTTTGTTTTTTGAATGAGTTGTACATATTTTCCACTTGGTAATATAAAATAGTTAGTTGCTAAAAAATTAATTTTTTTTTTTGGAATGTCTCATAAATGAATTCATCCATACAATTTATATGAACCTATTTTCTCTTTAATCCGTGCCAAAAAGAATGATCACTTTCTACATTTGAAAATAATTTACCTTCCTGCAATGATTTATAGCCATACAAAACGTATGTGCCTCATTTTATATCACAAGTTCAAAAGTTCTTTTTTCTTCTTCTTAAACTCCATATCTGGTCAAATAGTTCCTAGACAATTTATTTCACTGTTAAACTAATCTTTTACTAACCTTTATTTTAATATTGTACAACTTTATACTATGCACAGGTCAAATCAATACTTTATATGAGGTATCCAATCAATCTCAAATAAAACATCATGGGAGAGACTAATTTATAATGCTCTTTGAAAAGTTGAAGAGACTAAACTAATCAGTTTGAACTCCCAATTCCCACACATTTGGCTCAAACTCAAAGGAAACAACTTTGACTTTACAGTTTGTTACTCCCTCCGTCCCAATTTATAATTTCGACGGTCAAACGAGTTTTTTACAATATTTTCTTAAATGTCTTTTAGATATTTTAATTGTTAATGTATTTTATAGTACTTTTACGTAATTTTCAAATATATAAATTTTATTTTAAAAAACTTAAAAATTTTGTGTCCGAATTCATAATTAAAATTAAGAAGTTTGACTCTCTGAATCCGAGCTCCGCCACATAAATTGAGACAAAAAAAAAATACAATTTACTTGATTGTAGGAACGGACGAGCTACTCCATCCGCCCTATCTATATATATATATAATAAAGCTGGGCTTTGAATGAGGGACGTGGCATATCTCATAAGCCAGTACTTCTATTTATCTATTTTCTTAGGTTTTTGCCCTTTTTCCTCTTATCTAAGTGCTCTAAATAAATTTTAAAAAGCCAACAGTGACCACAATTATAACCACATTAATTACGCCTCTTCGGCTTCTCCGTGGTGAATGCTCGTTCTTAATACACATATCTTCCACACATTGCACCTTTTTCTATTCCCACCAGAGGTAAATGTTTTTGCATAATAACACATCTCATCGTCTTCCTTCTCTCATTTTTAGCGGTAAATTAAATCTTTTTCCTCCAAATCCACAAGTTTCCTTCCATGGACCCGTACTTCACTGGTAAGTGTTTGATTACCATCGAGTATGACTGCATCTGTGTGAGGTATGAAGCCCTTGTATTTTGTGTATCTTTTTACCTGTCAATGTTTCGGACGTTAATAAATGGTTTTCTCTTTTCTTCCCTCTTATACAGGCTTTTTTTTGGTTCTACATATGATGATCGACCTTTGATAATTAATAGCCAAACGAAATTATATCGTGTGTATCCATTCATTACCCCAGGCACTGTTGAGGTGAATATCCTTTTTTATCGTAACGTAATTATAAAAATATTTTGTAACCATTGTAGTATATGATATTGTTCTAAGCATTCAATTTTCTTCTCTTTTTTTTTCTATAGCGAACTAATTACAACTTTATTGATATTTTGTTGATTTTGAATTATTTTGTTTTGTAGATGTCACCATCTTTGGTTAAGAAAGCTTAATAATGAGGTCATAATGCAATTGAGACCTAAATCTTACAACGCCCACGAGCCACTGTATCGTCAGTTTCTTATATTCAATTTTAAGAAAAAAACTCAGTTATTGTTTTCTTTATTCTGTAATAATAATTTTTACCGGTAGTTAGTAGTTTCATTTTGTGTGGAATTTGCATATCGTAAGGTTCATCAAGTTGATAAAAGATGAATGGCTGTATGCAATATTGATAACTAGAATCTTAATTATGTTTATGCTTAATGATATTACATGTACATTTAATTGGTGTTTCAGAAATCTTTATTCACGAAGTTTTATCTGGATTTTTGTTGTTGAATTCTATTGATGCTCCAACTGAAAAGTTTTCTAATCAGTTTTCTTGAATTTGTTCGAGTTTTGTCGTAGGGCCTGGGGTGTGGTTTTCTCAAATGGTTGGATCAACATGATGAACTATTCTTGAAGAATTATAGTCTGATACTTTGAAAGACCAAAAAGGGGAAGATAACGCTATTGTCTCCTGGTCAGTTAGTTAGTTAGAATATGTATGTCTAAGATAGATATTGAATTGTATTGCACATCCTCTTTAGTGTGATGTAATTGTCATTTGTTTATCTTAAGAATTACTTTTTACTTTTTTGTAAATAACACGAGCTGCTTTATTTTTATTTATTTTTAATATGTATGTTAGGAGAAGCGTTTGTCAGAATATTGTATGGCTTTTCTTTATTTAAATAGTAGTACTTGAACCATAACAAAATGATGTACATCAAGAAAAAGGAATAGTCTTATTACTTTCTCAATCAATTGAACTTTGCAGGTTTCTATTAGATTTTGACGATTTTGATATATGGATGTCCTATATCATTTTTGTTGTCCTACTGCGGGCTAAGTTTGTTATAGATGTGATAAAGTATCGTAGTTATTCCTTATGCCAAATTTATTGAACAATGTAGTTTACTACTATGTCCCAATTGAGCCATCTCATTTTATTTGGGGAATAATATTAAGGTAAGAGTTGAAATTTAATTATACTTGAAAACGTTCAAGTAAAAGTAACATTTTGAAAGTCATAAATCTTTCTTCCATCAAAATGGTCTCATAATAATCAAATATTGAGAAACAATTTGAATTATGTAGAAAATAATATTACTTTTGAAACTGCATCAAGTCGGTGGACCTTTTCTTTAAATAAAAATCTAGAGAGTGTAGGATCTAAGTAGAGAAAATATGATCATATTTTTTGGACAATCCAAACTATTAAAATAGAATTGAAAAGTGTTATTATACCTTATTATATTTCTATTTGACGACGACTGAATACGCTAATGAGGTGCATTTTTTTTGTGATAAGTAACAAGTCCTTAGCTTGGTACCAAATTCTCCTTTTTGTCATTTTTTTCGTGGATCAATGATTTTGATGTATTTATCAACATTTTAAAATTGTTTTCAAGTTATGCAATCATGTCATTTGTACATTTTGTGTTCTCTTACGGAAATTATTGTTATTAGTTAGTTTGATGAGTATGACTTTTAATACCGTTGCTTTTCCATATGATTATTAATGAGCTTAAGCCCCTTGAATATTCTTGTGCGATTAGGCTCAGAAACTTTACTAACAATCTCCATAGTCATAGCAAATATCTATATGAGATTTAGGTGAGTAGTAAAGACGAATTAAAATTTGAAATCTAATCGATTTATATTTTGAGACAACAAGAGTTGTTAAAATATCTTTAATATTTTAAAGAATTCGATGAGATATTTTATAACCGCGCGAAGCAAGAACAAATTTACTAGTTTGTTACATATACCCTGAATTTAACAGAAGTATTATTTAATTGCTATGGAGTTTAAAATAACCTCTTTACTTTATAAGGGTGGAGGTACGGGTGCAATGGGTTTTAATTGAATGGTCTCTTCATCGAAAAATTATTGGAGTACTACTATATGAGTAGAGCAAAAATAATTATTCTTCCTATATAAATTATTGAATCCCATTCGCACAGGAAAAGTTACAATGCAACAACAAAGGGAGTTAAAGAATTATTATAGATTGCAAATTCAAACTCTAGGTGTGATATTCTTATATTCCACTTGTCCTCGGTACTTTACAACTTGTTTGGATTGTTACATGCCGTTTTATAGGGTATTTTATTATTATTATTATTATTATTATTATTATTATTATTATTATTATTATTATTATTATTATTATTATTATTATTATTATATATAATGTATTGTTTGATAAATACAATATTTGGATAAATTGTATCGTTTGGGTCATTTTATGATATCACGTACCAACAACATGAAAACTAAACTTGCAATATCACTAAAAAAATAGGATACATAATAGAATTATTATATAAAAAAGGTAGGTTAAGAATAAATATGATTATTTAATAATAAGAAGTAGGGGCAGATCTATAGCCTAGTGTATGGGGTACGTGAACCCATGGTCTTTCCGCCAAATTAGGTATTTTATGTACATATTTTTTAGAACTGATCAAATATTACCTGCTGGCACCCATGCTCCAAAAAAGGTTAAATGGTGCACTTGGTTGAATGCTAAGGTATTTACCTAGAGGAATTGTGATCAATTCTCACTTAATACTTTAATTTTTTTTTTATTTTTTAGTGATGCACCGATGTTATAAAAATCCTAGATCCGCCTATGATAAGAAGGGCAAGAAGAGAGAAAAAAGCAAGGTTACGACGTCACTACACCATATCCGTCGTTCCATAAAGTGATACTTTTCATCATTACCTAACGACTGATTTAACGATACGATACAGTATAATTTAAGTAACAATCGAAACAAACCTTATATTTAAAGTAACAATATAATATAATAGGTAACAACCATCCAAATAAGCTATTACTATCCAATGATTAGAGTGGATAGATTTATTATCTACTTCTCAAAGTATACCTTTATTACGTAATTTTAAATTAAAAAAGATTTTTACCATAGAAAAAACAAGGAAGATGTGGTTGACGTGCCATTATTTAAAGCCTCCTGGTAATGTCGAAATCAACTTGTCAAAACAAATAGCATCAAAGACAAGGGTAGAGATAGCGTTTATAGTGGGGGTTCGGCCGACCCTAATGATGTATTTGTCTTAAGAGATTTATTTAATATATTCAGTTATTAGTTAAAATCAATAACTTAAAAGAGATAAAAATTTAAATTCTAAAACTTCAAATTATAATTCCGCCTCTTATTCAAACGTAGTTGTCAAAAGAATCCCATTAAAACTCCAAAAAGGTCGGGAGAAATTCAAAAATAGCCAGATTTACAAGTGGTCATTAAAAAATAGCTAGAGTTCCAAAAGTAATCGAAATTTAGCCGCTTTTCATAGAAAGATAATTCTGAACGAAAGCACTGTTCAAAATCCAAAAAAATAATCCAGCATAATATACCGGTCTAGCATAATATACTGGAGTTTAGAGTACCGGTGCTCCAGTCTTCAGTATATTATACTGGAGCCAGCAAAGTATACTAGTCCAGCATAATATGCTGGAAGTGTTAACCTTTTAATCTTGTTAATTAACCTGTATTTGTAAATAATAATACTGGAGAAAAGAACGTTAGCGTATAGACGTAAATATAAATGAGACAGTAATTAATTCGAGCCCACTGAATTCACAGTGTTTCCTTAAGGAATTTAATCCCCTCCTAGTACCCAAGATTATGGATTATTTCCTCCCAGGATAGAACGAATTACACACTGGTGTAGCGGTACTTCAAACTTCAATGTTTCAGCGAACACAAAGTTCGGCAGCAAATCACACTTACGGTTGCTTTGTTTGAACTTTAAAACAATGCAGAACAAGGGAGGAAACTCAGAAGTCGAATGGAAATTCTGAGAGGAAGGAATGCAATCTATAGCCGATGTTGAGTTCTTACTGAAGAGGATATCTTTCAAGTTTTCAGTATTTTTTCACTCCAACTGTTGCTCATATTTATAGCAGTCAGGAGAGACCCGTCACCCTCCATGGTGGAGGAAGCACTTGCTTGGTGGGAGGAGCACTATTAACATCCGTTACAAACACGGATTATATCACGTTAATATTCACTATTAACAACTAAATTTGGTCCAAAAAATTAATCAATCAATCGATCATTTGACCAAATTCAAATCTGAATCCGAATCCGAATCCGAATCCGAAGCCGAAGTCGAAGCCGTAGCCGAGCCGAGCCGAGCCGAGCGACGTCGACGCGAGGCTTGCCTTCTTCTTAACTCTTTAAGAGCTACATGAAGTGCACTTTTTAACATATCCACACCTAGTCCGAATGTACGGGGTGTTACATTATCTCCCTTTTGGGATCATTCGTCCTCGAATGATTGTCCTGACTGTAACTTCTACTAACTCCGGACCTTAAACGGGTCTGGTGGAAGCATGAACTCTTATTAACACTTGTATACTGAATTGAATGAATACATGATTACTGAACTGTTGTGATACTGAACTGAATGACTACTGCATTAAGTGAATATTGGTCTGCCATGGATATGTGAATACTGAACTAACATGGATATATGAATATTGAACTGGCACGAATATTTGAGTAATCTGAGTACTAAGCTGGCATGAATATCTAAGTATTGGACTAACATGAGTAGCTGAGTATTGAGCTGACACCCACCAAAATTCTTTTCCTCTACCAATGAGGGACAATGTCTCATTAAAAGGAGAGGGAAACTTAAAATTTTACTCAAAAATTTCCCTCCATTTCCCATTCACCCTCTTTTTAATACCTTTTCATATTAAAATTAAACTCAACAATCCCCCACATGAATGGGGAATGACTGTATCACGGAAGTATGCATGAAAAACTTGTGTGATTCGCAAACAAGAATTAATTGCATCTGGATAAGTAGGTTTCCCTTTGAACTTTCCGTAGTGAACTTATATAGGATATACTCGGTCAATCGGTAGATTTGATATCTTTGAACCGTCGAACTTTAGTGTATACCTAGACAACCATAAGTCACACAATCAACCCTTAACAGTCTTTGGTTCTCATTATTGTGTTCGTTTCAGCCATGAACACCGCCTGGTTTCATAAGTGCGTAGAGAATTGACCTTGCAGAATTCTCCTTGAAGCGGCTAACACTTCACACTTACATAGGTGATTCCTAAACGTGTTATCCTGTAGATACACTATTTGATATACCACGTATCAAATTTAGAAATCATTAAAAAGCCTTAATGCTTTATCCTTGGTACTGAACATTGTCTCATCACGAGAATGGACCAAAATTTTGTTGACAATGTTGAACTGTCATTAATGACTTTGTTTGATCTCCTTGAACCTAGATCTTGGGATCTCCAGTCTTCTAGGTAGAGTTACCGCCACAATGACTTGTTCTCGGCCATAGTCCCATTCCCCTCGATGATTTCTCAACTACCTCTCTAGTTAGACCTTTTGTAAGTGGATCCGAAACATTATCACTTGATTTTACATAGTCAATTGTGTTAATTCCTCTAGAGAGTAATTGCCTAACGGTTTTCTGTCTTCGTCGTATATGACGAGATTTACCGTTATACATAACGCTCCCAGCCCTTCCAATTGCCGCTTGACTATCGCAATGTATGCATATTGGTGCCAACAGTTTGGGCCAAAATGGAATGTCTTCCAAGAAATTTCGGAGCCATTCAGCTTCTTCACCGGCTTTATCTA